AGCGGCGGCCGCGGCAGCACGACGGCGGCGTAGGTTGATGAGGCGGCCAACTCCGTAGTCCGGCACACCTGGGGCCGTACAACAACGCTAACGATAATGCTAGATAACGATATAATGACATAACGATGACAATGCTGCTGCTTATGCTATCTGTAGTCTTCATGTGGGCGGTGGTAGTTGTGGTCATGATCGTTGCAACCGTAATATGAATCTATTCGCCCGCCCGCCCGCCCGCCCGGCTGACTTCCCCCTCGGCGCTTCTCGCGACCGTGTTCCGCACCCCACGCCCCAACTGCGCGGCAGCCTTACCCTCTGAAAAACCCTCCAGCCCGCATTCCCAACATACATACATACACGCATACACATATCACACAAGTACACTCACCCGCTAGGAAGAGCAGCAGCTTGACGGGGCTGGGGTTCTGGGAGAGGTGGTCGGCACCCACCACCGCAGCGGCGGTGGCACCGGCGCCATGGGCCCCCACCAGGCCCCCACTGCCGCCCCCACCCCCACCCCCACCGCCGTCAGCGCCGTGAACGGGGGCCAGGGGAGGGGACTGGAGAACCTGCGGGTGGGGGAGAATCACCGCGAAACCCACCCCATGGCGCGCGACTGTTGAAGCAACCCTGAACATGACTGAGTCGTGCGTATATGCACAAGTTTGTGTATGTATGTATATACGTACGCATGTATGTATGTACGTACGTATGTATGTATGTGCGCCAGCCCCCGCTCTTAACCCCCATACAAGCCCCCCCTCCCCCCCTCCCACACACACCTTAAGGTAGTCCAGCACCGCCACCAGCGCCGGACCCAGACCCCTAGCAGGAGGAGGGGGACCCGTAGACACGCCACCTCGACCTCCACCACCTCCTCCTCCTCCTCCGGACGCAGCCGCAGCCGCCGCCGCCGCCAGCCCAGCCGGCGGAACTGCAGCACTGCGACTCATGCCGGCCTCCTGTCCAGGGGCCTCGCCCGAGGGCCCCAGGGCGGTGGCGGCGGCGGCGGCGGCGGCGCCACCGTCGGCCCTGCCGCTGTAGCTGTCCCCGTAGCCCTTCCGTATTTCAATTGCGGTAGCCGTAGCCGTAGCAGCAGTAGTGGCGAACCGGAACGGTGAGGGGGAGAGGAGGGCGGGAAGAGTGAGATGAAGTTGGGTCTGTGGGCAAAGCTAGAGATACGGATGCGAAACAAGTACGATTTCAGGTACTAGGCAGGTGACTAGACAGGGCCGTGCACGCACAGCTCCAGGGGGCCCACATGTACGGGGTCGCGTCGGACAGCTGTGCACACGATGGCGCCAGTGTCTGTGTATGTCTGTCTGTATGTGTATCTCGTCGGCGGATTCACACACGTAGCACAGGATATGGCCCTTCCCCCCCTTTCCCCGCCCCCAACACCATCCACACACACTGACAGCACCTGTGCAATAATAACCCTGCATACATCAGGCCAACCTCCACCCCACCCCAACCCTCCCGCAGCAGCACGCCTACCTGCTCCGGAACCACGTTTTCCTCCAGCGCCCGGGTAATTGCCCCCTTGAACCCCCCTACGGGGGCCAGCAGACACGACAGCGGCATCACGTCCTCCAGGGGCACCGCCACTGCGGGGCTGGAGGCGGCTGCGGCGGCTGCGGAGGTCCCGGGGCGGAGCTGCGGCTCCAGGAGGGGCACGTAGCGCACACTGGGCTCGGAGGAGCGGACGTCGTGGAGACCCAGCTACGCGGATGTGGGTATGTACGTACGTATGTATGTATACGGGGGTCCGGGGGAGGAGGCAGCAGTGGGCGAAAGGGAGGGAGGGGGGTGACAAAATGTGGGGCACCTTCACGCCTACCTACCTACCTACCTACCTACCTGCCTGCCTGCCTGCCTGCCTGCCTACCTACCTACCTACCTACCTACCTACCTGCCTACCTGCCTACCTACCAGCATACAAACGTGGTGCCCAGATTGGATAGAAGTGCCTCACGGCTTGACGACGAAAAACACAGTAGACTTGCCCTACCTCCCCTCCCCTCCCTTACCTAACTCACAAGCCCCACCCGCCCCACCCCTGCCAACACTCAACCCATATCCCCCACCACCACATACCACCTTCTACTTCTAAAAGTGACCCTCACCGACTCCAGCCAGGCAACTCAGCCCTTTAAACTTCTTCGGCAGTTTTGGTAATTTGGACTTGGACTTAGGGTGCAGATGGTGATTGACTCCTTTGTCTCCTGTGTAACGTTTTCCCCCGCGCTCCCCCCCCAGTCCTTCCCACCCCCAAGTCCTTCCCGCCCCCCAGTCCTTCCCATGCCGCCCTACCCTGTTGGACATGGTGATGAGTGCAAACCTTGTGACGGGCGGCAGCGCCTCCAGGGCCGCCTCCAGGCTGCTGCGGACCAGCTCCAGGAACTCCTCCCCGGCGGCAGTGTCCACCAGCGCCACCACGACCGGGGCGGGACCGGACACGGAGCCCTGCGAAGAGGGGAAACGTATGCGATGTCGAGGAAAACAAGCAACTGCCGAAGTCCAGAGAGGGAGAGGGAGAGGGAGAGGGAGAGGGAGAGGGGGAAAAGACGAACCACGTGAACGAGTGAAGCTGCTGCCCAGGAAAGAGTGTACAAGAAGCAGAACTGACCAGTCGGTTTTGAAGGGGAAGGAAGTGGGGGGAACCAGAAACAAAGGAGCGCCAGGGCCGGGGGAGTCATGCAGGGCACCAAAACAGCCCCACGGGGATTGAAGTAAGGAAACGCAAAAGAGGGGAAGTAGGCCTGGGTAGAGATTCCTCTCCCCACCCACCCCCCCACCCCAATTCCCCCCTCCCCTCCCCCCCCCTTCCTCGAACACGGGTAATTCCCACCGGGTCGTGTAGGGCCGCCTGAGAGCCCTCCAGTGGGGGCATGGCTACGGGGATGGGCTCCTCCGCCAGCGTCTCAAACACCTCGGAACGGACCTCAGGAAGGACCTGGAGGATGGAGGGGTCCAGCCGGTACCTGCAAGCAAACAAGCACACATACATACATACATACATACATACATACATACATACATACATACATACATCAAGGCAATCTGTAGCATACGGGAGTCTCCGGTAGACCTGTGCTGCCTTTGTCGTCATCTTTCCCCCCTGATGCTTTCCCGCGTTTTAGCCAATCCGTTTTACGCACGGAAAGTCAGCCAGCCAGACAAACAGACAATCAGATGACGAGTCCGTCAAAAAAACATACACACGCGCTTACACGTCCGACGTGAAAAGTAAGCGGTGCTCGCTCCCTTCACATCCGCACGCGCTAAGCTGCCGCCTGTGCGCCAACACACTTCTACCGACCCGCCCTCCCCCCTACCCTCCGTACCCCTTACGTCCCGCGCCCTTCCGGGCCTACCCTGGTTTGGGTTACCTCGGGGCCTTTCCGTCCAACCTTCTCTTCCTAGAGGGCCCCCTCTCCCCCTTTCCCCCCTGCCTGCCTGGCTGGCCTCACATGCGGACGACAGACCTGCATCAAGTGGCCCCCTCACATGCCCCCTCACATCCCCGCTTTCTCTCCCCTGCTGGCATCTGCCCTGACCCACATCCGCTTCCCCACCGTTTCTGTTGTTGAGGCTTGAGGGCATTATGGCGGTTGCACAACGAACACACCCAGCCCGCCGTGTCGAACACGCAGTAGCAGTTGATGTACCTGGGTGATGTGCGCGCGGATGTGTGTTGAGGGAGGCCGTGGGGGGTTGGGGGATGGCGCACGGCTGTTGTTTATTGGGAAGAAGAACAACACGGCACGGCCCCAAGCCTGCTAGGCATGATGATGATGATGATGATGATGGTGATGGTGATGATGGCGACGACGACGATGATGATGATGATGGCGACGATGACTGACATGGCGGCGCATCCTGGGGAAAGCACGATATGCACGCAGGGTCTAACTCACGAGTAGCATTGTGCGCATCTGGCAATAGCGCCGCTGCGTACGGCTGTCGCGTCCCCCGCCGCCGCGTCCTTCTCGCCGAGCCGGTGGTAGGGCTGCAGCACACAGCTGAAGGGCAGCCCGCTCTGCTCCTTCAAAGAACCTTCAGAGTGGAGAAACATAAGTGAGGAAGGACAAAGAATTGAATGCGGACGCCCCATGCAAGATAAAGTAGAGAGGTGGAGGAAGGGGTTTTGGGGTTGGCGTGAAGTGTGCATGTACGACCAGGCAGAGACTGCAACGACCTGTGGTGGCCTAGTGGCCATCATGGCTTGATCAAATGTGGCCGACACGTCTATAACGCGTATGTGTTTCGGTTTCAGTGTTGGTATGTCTTAAGGTGCCGTAGTGATGTGGGCCGGCAGGGAAATTTTCCTCCGTCCCATTTGCAGGGGCCAGGGTGGATGGTGAGGCAGGGGGCCAAAGGGAAGGAGCAAGGTGCCGGCGGGTGGCTCAGGAGGAGCATGTGCGCCTAGGATTCTAGCATGGAGTCGAGAAGCGGTGGGATGTGTTTGGGGATGAGGGGTGCGGAGTACGATAAGCTGAAGCGATGCATGGAACTGCCCAGCTGTAGCGGCTTGATGAATCCAAAGCATTCCGACCCAGCCATGGTTTACGGAGGGGCATTAAATTCATTAACGTTACGTTTATGGGGTGTGACGAAGGTGTTGTGGGGTGTCGAGCTCTGCATGTTCTGGGGAAGATCGGCGCTGAAGGAGGTGCGTACCGTTAATAGGAAAGCGCTTGAGGGTGAAGTCCACTTTCATGACGGTAGGTGTGCGAAATTCTATGCGCCGCTGCTTGCTGCACTGATCAGTGGAAAAATGGAAGCTGCACCCCAAACGTTTGTCCAGCAGGTTACGGCATTCCAGAGGGATTGTTCTCAGATATGTATGAGCAGATGAACATCATACATCACAAAATCCCAAGTAGGCGCGTCTTCGCCTCGGAAGGTTGACAACCGGATTTCCGCGATGAGCCCGAATAGAATGTGAGCAAAATAAAGTAATGCGTTAACTTTAACCTATGGCTAAGCAAAATCTAGACATTGAGAAACAGGGAGCAGACGCCAAACTATCTTGAACTGGGTTCGTTAGTACCGTAACTGAACTACTGAAGGACGAAACACGACTGGACTTTGTGTCTTTCTATCACCGCATCAAGCTCCAACTGTAATATCGCACGTGTAGGCTTCCTGGCCGCTACCTTTTATCAAGCAGGTTTGGCAAGAGAAGGCAAGAGAAGGCACTCTTTCCTTCATAGCTCATACCCTCAGCCGCTTAATTGTTCCCTGGCGTTGCGCTTGGAAGCTCCTCCTTGAATACTCGCAATGGGGATATTTAAGCGTGTTACCGAAAAGGTGAGCGGAAGGCATTACGGGTTGCACTGCGACGTTCTCGCGCTTGTCTCGTCAAAGCAGTTGTTATATAAAGAATGACCAATTCTTCCTTAGATTCATGTTTTAAAGTGCGGAACGCAATAGAACCCTTTCTGGCTTCTCGGTCTTCCCTATACTTTTGTACCTGTTCGCAGGGGCCAGCTCTGTGTGCGTCACGATGTACCAGAGTTGTACCTCCACTGTTGCATGTTTATCTTCGCGCAGTAGTCAAGAGTTCTGTGCTTAGTGCTCAAGCGCCCGCCATGGCTTAGCGGAGCTACAGGAATCTATAGCTTACCACTGTGCGAAAGTTCAGCTTTGAAACGTTATGACAGTTGTGCTGAATTGCCGATTCCGGTTTTGCCGCGCAACAGCTTCCGTGCGCTTCTCCGCGTCCGCGAGCCATCCTGTTCCCCCTCCCGCATCGTTGGTTTTGTCATTCCGGAGCCTCGTCCCTCCCTCATCCGTCTTCCTTGGACCTTCAACCCCAGCCATCACTGTTACTTCCCGCCCTGTCCAGGCCTTAGATCTCACTACCCTTTTGCGCTTTCCAAAACTCCGAATACCCTTGTCGGTGGGATTCGGGGTGGTGTTTCAGAAAGCGGAAGGGGCTTAGAGACTAAGCCTAGGAAGGGTGGGAGTTACAGTTGTGGAGAGGGTCTTCTATCCAATTCACCGCCAGAAAAACACCGCCAGCCCACGGCAACTTTCAGCAAAACCCTCTGTCCCTCCCCAGACATAATCTCCTCCTCCGGTCGTAAGCCCCTGGTGGGGCCCTCCATCCTCCTCTACCCTCCTCCCCCACAAAAAGAAACTGCCAACCCGCCAACACCAAGACCGCCAACTCCACCACCGCTACCCGGTGCTGCTCCCCGCTTACCTGCTTTCCTCCTCTTCCGCTCGGATGTGTCGCAGTTGACCTCACACTTTATGATGAGAAATATTAAGTCATTTGGGTCGCCGGGCCCCCCGCCCCTCCCCCCATCCCACTGGCCCATTCAATCACCAGACAAAGCAAGCGATAGGCCTGAAGGGCAATGCTGCGGACTGGCGACCCACATCGAATGCCCGCAACCTGGCCATGATTGAGGAGGCACGGCGCTTCTCCAAGCAGATCAAGCTGCTGCACAAGGAGCTGCGGGAGATGGAGGGCAGGATTGAAGGTTGGTGGGGGGGGGAGGGGAGAGGGAGAGGGAAGGGCAGCGGGCAGGCGCTGCTCTGTGAGACAGCAAGACGAAAGTTTGAGGGGTTTATTAGGAAGAACCGACCATATGGGTTCAGCGCCCCTTGTTGGCGAGGGGCCCCTGTGGTGTAGGAGGGGCCCTAGGCAGACCCTTAGCACCTTTCTCCCTCCTGCCTCACCACCTCCCTCCTCGCCCTCCCCAGCTGGCTCCCTCTCCGCACTCGCTGTTGACAGCCAGCTCCACAACAGCCGCTGCAAAGGGTGCTATCATTCAGACTGGCAGTTGACCACTCATTGCATCCTGCGAATATCCATCCCGCACCTGCTGCTGCTCCTTCCTCGCAATGTCCTGGTTATCTTTCTCTCAGCATACTGCACCTCCACCGAATAAATGGAACAAGGTAGTTCCTCATCTGTGTTTCAGTTTCCCCCCCTCACCCCCCCGGGTCCCCCCCCCAGGCAACCTGGTGGTTCTGAAGGGCGTGCTGAACTCCCCCCTGCCCCGAGTGTATGAAATGACCGACAAGGGGGCGGTGCCCGTGGAGAAGGAGGCGTCCGTGGTGGGGATGGGGGTGGCATTTGACGCGCTGGGGGCCACAGCGACAAATCTGAAGGCCAAGCTGCAGCAGGAGGTGGGTCGCTGGGGGGAGGGAGGGTAGGTGGGCGTGGTCAGGAGGGGGGTCCCCTCTTTTCATACCCCTCCTTCCTTGGTGTATATTGTGCACAACAATACCCCGGCCCCCTCCCCGGCCCCCAGGTGCTGTTTCCTCTAGATCAGTGGCAGGCGGGTTACCGCATGATCAAGGTGAGGGGGGGCCCGGATAGATGGGTGCATGGATGGATTGTTACGTGGTGAGTGGTGTATGTATGTATGTATGTATGTATGTATGTATGTATGTATGTATGTATGTGGGATAGAGCACCGGGGGGAATAGAGCACGAACCACGCCAAGCACGCAACAATACGAGGCCCAAGCAATCAAAGAGACCTGGTGCGTATACACTGTATATATACCTGCCTGCCTGTTAGCTTGCATCCTTGCACAATATGTATGTATGTACGTATGTACCTACATGTACGTATGTACCTATGTATGTATGTTTCCACTCCCCGGCTGTTCCATGCAACAGGTCCGCAATGCCAAGTGCGAGGAGCTGAGGTTGGAGCTGGATGCCAAAAGAAGGGAGGCGGCGGCCATGGCGGGTGGGTTGTGGGAATGGTTGTATGTATGTACGTGCGTATGTATGTTATGTATGCACGGATGTGTGGGTGTGGGTGTCGATGTGGGTTTTGTGGAATTGTATGCATGGGTACGGTCCCTCCTCCCCCTCCTCTCCCTCTCTTCCCCCTGTGTGCTGGTGGCACCCGACTGACCCTCCTCTACCGCCATTCACTGCTTCCGCTCCCCGGCCACCTGTCGCCAACCAACCAACCGTCGCCTACCGACCAACCAACCACCCAACCGCTTCTGACGGTGATGGTGATGGCGGCAGCCAGCCTAGAGAAGCTCAAGTCCCGGGCGGCTGCTAGCGCCCACCCGGGGGATGTGGAGGGCGGCAAGACGGGGGCCGGTGGCGGGGGCAGTGAGGGGACCAAGCTGGCCACCATGCAGTCCCTGCCACCCGGCACTAAAACCAACTCCAACAAGTGGGAGGATGCGGAGTTTAAGTTGCAGAAGGAGGAGGACAAGGTGGCTCGTGAGTGAGGGGGAGCCGGGGGCACAGGGGGAGAACAAGGTCTTTTGTTCCTTGCAGCGCCCTCCTTCCTCAGGCAAGACGTCTTGCCTCCACCTGCGTCTCTCCACTACCGTTCCTTTAATACCGCCATCGCCTTCAGCAGTTTGGGACTTTGGATTGTGGTCGCCCCGGCCGATGATCTCTTTTGAGTTTCTCGCACGTGATGGTTCCCCTCCCCCCCTACCTCACCTCACCTCGTTTGTGGTTCGTCTTTCCCTACCTCACCTCACTTCACTTGATCCGTTCCCATGTCCCCACCCACCATCACGCACCTCACATCTCATACTCCCCCACCCACCACCACCTACTCCCAGGTCTCACGCAGCGATTCAAGGACATAGAGGGGGAGGTGTACACGGCCCTGCTCACGCTGATCAACGACACTAAGGTGCTCAAACAGTACGCGGCTACGGCACTGATTGTGTTCCAGGTGCGTGTGTGTATATGTATGTAAGTGTATGTGTGTTTTCCCCTGTTTTTTTTTTACTTTCACATGTGATTTCTCCCCTACCCCCTCTTCCCCCTTCGTGTGTGTCCCCATGCTTCCAATCCCCCAGCAAGCCTTCACCCAAGCACACTCGGCCTTTGGCCCCGCGAGCTCCCTGGCGTCACTGGGCCTGCTGCCAACAAGCAGCGCCGCGCTGGAGACTCCCAATGCAAAGTCCACAGCCGGGTACAACGGAGGGGCCACACCTGCATCTGGTACGGCAGGTACGGCACGTGGATGGCTGGATCCGGTGCTTTAAATTTAGAATAAACGTGTGTGCGTGTGTGTGTGCCGGGTTGTGCTTGGAGGTAGCGGGTGTTCCCGCTCCAGGAGGGGGTTGGGAAGGCGGTGGAAATGAGCGTTTTGGTAGTGTGAACTACTGGGACAATCGCCGTATGGCACCAACCATAGTGCACATAAACATACAGACGCACACATATACCACTCGCACCCTGGACCAAGTGCATGGGCTGGCACAGACTGGCTGGCTAGCTGTCTTGGACAGTCCTGAAATATCTATCCATTTGGGGGGTAAGAGCCGCCACCCCCCCCCGGGGACGTTTCTTCTGTGCCACGCCTCCCTAATCCCCCCTTACCGGGGCCTCCCCCTCCCCCTCCCCCTCTTTCCAGCAGCTTCACTCGTTCGTGGTTCGTCTTTCCCCCTCTTTCCCCCCTCTTCCCCCGCAGCCTATACCCCTAAGGGCGGTCCCGACACACCGGACCAGACGCCGGCCTCGCAGCCAGTACCGCAGCAGCGGCCGCCACCACCCGCCTGGTACAATGAAGCCAAACAGCAGGCGCAGCCTATGCAGTACGGGGAGGACAGCGACGATGACAAGTGAAACTTTGATGGACGCCTCCGGGATGGAGCTGCGGCGAGGAAGGAGGCATGCCGATTGAGGAATGCGGAGGAGGGGAAGCACCACTCTGGCTGGCGAGTGCTGGCCAGTGGGGGGTGGCGGTGGGAGGGGGCGGGGGAGGAAGACGCAGTTGGCTCTGGCGCTGCCGACTGACTTTGGCTGGTTAGGATTATGTTCTGTTTCTCACTCTTGCGAGCCGCGTGTCTCTCTATATATATATATTTCCCCCGGGGATAACCCCTGTTCCTGACAGCTCTTCAATCTGGGGCATATAGCATCCCGCGCCTGCCTGCCTGTCGGGTTGCCTGCCAAGAAATACGAAATACGAATATTCTATGAAGTTGGACGATCTGCGATTGATGTGCGCTGCGGCTACTAATCATATTCATACCAGGAGGCTCTCCACCACCTCCTGCTCCTCCTCCTGCTCCTCTTTCCCAGGTTTGTGATATTTTGTTGTGTGTGAGATCATTGAGGGACCTGGGTTCTGGAGGTGTGGGGGGGGGGAAGAGCCCTCTCGTGGTTGCTACCAAACACCGTGACCTCAGAAATATACGGGAGGGTGATTTGTTGTCTTTTGAGCGGAGCTGGTGGAGGGGGGAAGAGGCTAATTGGGGTCCAGGGCAGGATGTGTGCATGCATACATGCAGGATGTGCGTGCAGGATGTGTACGCGTGTGTGTGTGTGTGTGTTCCGTTTCCCCTACCTCCTCGTGCTCAAGGATTCTCCTACTACTGCTACTCAGGGCTCCCTCTCCCCTCCTGCTTAGGGGAGTTAGACGGGGTGGACTGTATGTGAGGGGTACATGGACATGGGCAGGCGATTGGTCGTTCTTATATGTGCGTGAATTGAGAAAAATTCGATAGGTTGGTCACTCGGTGCAGCCTACTGGTCGCTGTGATGGTGATGGTGTGGGGGATGTGGCGGGATCGCTTCGAGTCGGGGTGGTGTGGATTGCTGCGAATTGGGACTACTGGCGCGGGGCAAAAGGTGTGCCGTTGCTTGAGTTCCAAAACACCCCTGTTGAGTGCTGCTGATTCTGGTGTTGGCGGTGATGGTGATGGTGATGTTGGTGTGGAGTGGTATGCGGGCGGTGTGAAGGAAGGGGTGCCGGATGCCGCCCAAGCTGGGGGAGCTCCCAGAGGGTGTGTGGGGAGCCCTGCTGTGGTGGCCAAGTGTTTTTCCCCTGCGGTTACAGTCCCGTACGTCCCATAATCCTGCCGTAGGTCTCCCGCACTTTTGAAAAAAAATCATTGTGATCTCAATAACGGTCTCTGGCGTTGGTTGTTGAAATATGATGGCGTTGGGGTTTTTATTGCGTCCTTGAATTGTCGTATATTACGGCAGTAGACAGGTGTATGTCTATCCGGTTAGTTGCGCATACCCGGTGGCGCCTGTTAACAAAACCTTTAACTGTGCTGTTAAAGGACTGGGCCGCGAGAAGGAGTATGTTATCGCGAGGACAGCTTTACGCCTGTATGGAATTTTATGAAAGGGCCATGTACGGCGTGTGTCCATGAGAGTGGGTCTAAAGGAGGGTGGGCAGTGGGTGTCTTCGTCTCACTCCGCTGGGGCCTCCTTTGCAGTCGGAGGTGATCGCTAATTGCAGGTGTTCGGAACATTCACAAAGCGAGACGACGTATGGCGCGTAAATAGCTATTGCTGCAACTGATAATGCTGATATATAATGCTGATGCTTGGTCGTCGTATAAGGAGAAAGAAACCACATTTGGAGGTGGTGGTGAGGGTGAGCTGCCGTCCGGGTGTTTTGAGGTTTCACCTCTCGCCTGTGTGGTGTGGTGGTGTAAGTGAGGGTGAGAGCGTGACGGCACAAGGTTGGGGTGAGGCAGAGGCAGACCGCGGAGTTGCTCTCAGCGATTTTAAACCTTTAGATGAATATCAGCATAGGAGGAGGAAATCGACAGGTCCCTAGCCCCCATATGTATAACGCCGTTCCGGGCGCCCAGTGTTTCCTTTCTGGTCGGTGTATCGTTTTCAAGTTAGCGGTGATAGTGGTGATCGTGGTGCTGGTGATGGTGGCGGCCAGATAACCATGAAATAGTCATACATACGTGCATGCTTCAAGCTTGTAATTCACTAGTCGTCAAGTCATTCAATGAGCTCAAGAACATCTGTAATAGCGGCACGGTGGCAAAGCTGCTGACTGCCCCGACTGCACGACACTGATCTCAGCCGTACACCACGTACGGCCTGCGGCACATGGGGGTTTTCCGGTGTGAAGGGATAACAAGATCGCGTGTCGCGCGTGCACGTGTATACGCATGTGTGCATGTATCGGTATATGTATGTATGTATGTTTGTTTGTGTCGGGTGAGGTTGGGGGGGCTACTTGGGACTTTTCGTAAGTCTCTTTGGCTGTGGAGGGTTGACTCAGGTGGCGGCGAAGCAGCGGCGGCGGTATCCGCTGCGACAGACCGGGCAGCTGAGTGCACCGCCGCTTGCTAGCTCGAAGGCCTGGGGGGTTTGCGTGGGTGAGTGGGGTTGTAAGGGCAGTGAGGTGCCTGCTCTGTGAGCTCTGTGAGGTGCAGCTCATATGGAGATGGACGGAGAGGCACGGGGGGAGGGAACGGGATGGGGCCAGGAGGAGGTATGAGAGGACGTGGGGGAGGTACGGCATACACACGTGTGAGAAAGCGACCGACCCTTTTAGGTCCCTGGGGACTACGCTGGAGCCTAATAGCCACTTTGGTAGCCAAGTTAATCTACTGCACCACCACCACCACCGCCCCCCTGTTACCTACTTGCGGCTCAGATACACACATACACACACGATAAACACATACACACATACACACACGCATACACACACACACACATACACACACACCTCAAATGCCATGATGCAGTCCAAATGGAAGCAGTGGGTGCAGCTCAACCAGGCGATACCTGCGATACGGCAGAGAAGGGGGGAAGGGGGGAGAGAAGAGGAGGCGGCCGCATAAAAACACACGGACAGATTCACACGGGTATGCGCTACTCGTGGCCTCACAACCTCCGCACCTTCGTTGCCCCTCCGGGAGATGTCACCCAGGCAGATGGGGCAGTCCAGGAGCCCGCGGGCCCGGGCCCGGGCCACCACCGCATCCCAGTCCACCTCCGCCGCTGTCGCCGGGCGCCCCCGCGCCGCCGCCGCCGCCTCCGTCACTGCCACAGCTGCTGACGGTGCGGCGGACCTGTACATCAGCGCCGTTGAGGCCGCCGCCGCGGTGGCGGTGGCGGTGGCGGTGGCGGTGTTGCTGGTATCTGCTCGTCCCGTCGCCTCCGCCTCCACCGCAGTGCTACCAGCGGCACCCGTAGCCTCGCTTCGTGTCGTACGTGCCGTATGCGCCAGGGCAGGAGCTACCAGTCCGGACTCCAGCAGTGGCAGCCCTGTACAAACGATGACGTGATGTGTGAACCTCTCCACGTGGACAGTCACGTGCGGTAGGTAATGTGTTTTGTTGTATTACCCGATTTGTACGAAAACCCCCTCCGCCAAACCAAATGTTGATACCCGCGAAAGGACCTCCCCAGAAGCTCCCCAGCCTCCACCTAGTCCCCCCTGACCCCCTTGGCAGCAGCTTCACTCGCTCGTGGCTCGTCTCTTTTCCCCCCTAACCCCCTACCTGACTACCTTCGCTTCTTGCACCTAATTCCCACCACCGCCAGCACCGCCAACACCAACCACCGGTCTCTTACCTCGGCGGCGGCTGCGGCTGGGTGACGATGACAATGAAGACGAAGACGAGGCGCAGTCACCCTCCTCCTCCTCCTCTTCCTCCTCCGCCGCCGCCAATCCAAATCGCTCCGCTGCCCGTCCCCCCTGCTCCGATACCAAGCCTACTCTACTGGAAGCCGCAGTAGCGCTTCTCCCCGAGCCCCCCGCCGCCGCCGCCGCCGCCGCCACTGCTGCAGGGGGCAACTCCGCCTCCACCTCCGAAACCGCCTCCCTGATCAGACCTTGCTGCAGCCGAGCTGCCAGAGGGCGCAGTGCCGCGTCACACACCTAGATGGGTTGGGGGGTGGAGGAAGTAGGCTACAGTTGCAGTTACGGTTACGGCTAACGGCCAACGGGGCCTCCGGAGATACTGATAACTGAACGTTCCGGGCTCCTGTCACCAATCAATCAAGGCCACTGCCACATGCACATATATACATACACATACGTACATACACATACATACACATACACAAACACACCGCAACTCACCGCCCTGCTCTGCGCCACGCTTGCATCTAGCTCCGCGAAGAGGTCGTCCAGATCGCCCACCTCGTCATCCATGGCCGACAACAACCGGTCGTTTTCCTCCTGTAGCAGGTGTATGTATGTATATATGTATATATATGTATATATGTATGTATGTATGTATGTATGTATGTATGTATGTATATATGTATGTATGTATGTATGTATGTATGTATGTATGTATGTATGTATGTATGTATGTATGTATGACTTAGATTACACTGTGGGCCGCGAGAGCCGGGGGCCGAAGCCGAAACACAGCGCAAGGGCCGGGAGCACACAGCACAAGTCGGTTAGTCTTGTGTGCTCCCGACCCCGACTCAGACTGCCAACACTCTACGCAGCCACTCCGCAGCCCCTCCATCCGGGGATGGCGCTGCAGTGAAGACACCACGAAGGGCTCTCAGGTCCCGCTAGAGCGAGTATGTATGTATGTATGTGAATAAATGAGCTTAGCCGCGGAATGTGAAGATTGAAGAGGTTGTCACTGAATGCAGAACAAGTTGTTTCTCGAATGTACCTATGGGACGCCTGTTGGGACGGCCGACACACACCTGCAGCCTTTTCGCCGCCCACTTCTTCTTGAGTTGCTCGTCCCGCGGCGGGTGGTGACGGCGGTACTCCAGGTACCCCCGGCGGGCGACAAAGCCCCTCCAAGCCGCCTGGATGCTGCAGCCGCCCCCCAACCCAACATGGAGAGGTCAAGACTGGTCAGGTGAGGTGCGTTACACGGCCCCATCCCGCCGCATCCGGCAACATCACGTCATGCCATGCCATGTCATGTCATGTCCGATTCGGGAGTAGCTGTGGTAACGGTTGTAGTAGGCATTCGCGTGAGGTGGTGGAGGTGGTGGAGGTGAGGGGCGCGACGGACGCGGCGTCAGCCGGAGAAGAGGGTGAGTGCGGGGGGAGGGAAGGGGAATGCGACAGGATGCAGCAGCAGCAGCAGCAGCAGCGCTCTGCTGCAACAACATGAGGACGCGTACAACGAATACACACATGTATACACACACACGCACACACTCTCCCCGCTTCCCGCAGTCGCGCTCCGCCATGCTACACCCCCTCCCTTAGCCCTCTCTCCCCCTCCTCCTCCTCCCCTCCATCCCCACCGTGTGGCGCATTTCCCCCGGAAGATCTCCTCCCCGTCCCGGATGAGCTTCTTCTGGTACTGCTGCGCCCGACACAGCGGACAGCTCTTAGAGCCGCTGAACCGCTCAAAGGAGGCCAGGCAGTGCCGGTGGAAGGTGTGGCTGCAGGAGAGGAGGACCTGGGATTGGGCGGGGGATGGGGGTGGGGGCGGGAGCCCCCGGTGTTTGGGTTTTTTGTTTTTTTCCTCGGGGGGAAAGGCAGGGGTGTGGCTTGGGGAGCCCCAGAGGGGTGTGGAGTTTTGTGACGTGCTGGATGTACGGCATACCCCAGGACCCCGCACCTGGGCGCCAGCTTGGAACTCCTCCCGACATATGACGCACTCGTACGACGAGTCCTGAGTGGGTGTACGGCGGCGGAAGGAAGGGCGTTTGCGTTAGGGGTTATGACGGCCATTGAGTTATTGGGGTATTAGTGTTTTGCAGTGTTTTTGGACGGAAAATGGGAGAACGGGGAAAATGGAGGCATGGGGGGAGGGAGAGAGGGAGGGAGGAGAGAACGTGCGTAAGGTATGAACCTGGAAAAGGGCCTCGTTCACGATAGCCGTGAAATCCTTGGAATCATGTGTCGTACACTTGTACCGCAATGCGTGTGTCTGTCGTACCTGGCGGAGGCGGCTGCGCAGGTGTACTTCCGTCCATTGGTCTTCTGTGAGAAGCGGCGGCGGCCTGGGGATAAGACCCAGGTGCTGGGCCAGAGTCATGGGCGCTCCCTGGGGGGGAGAAGTGGGGGATTCATTATATTTCCCTCAATAGAAATAGGGAATAGGGAATACAATCCCTCAATAATCACAGAGCGGGAAATTCGGTAGAGCGTATTACGAATCGCATAATGATGAGGTAACGGAGGGGGAAGGAGAGTGAGACCTTTTAAAAGTTAGAGGAGGTGTTGGCTTATTGGAGGGTTTGGAGTGGGTTGAGGGGGGGTGGGGGGGGGGTTGAGGGGGGTTGGCGGCTGTCGCTTGGAGGTGCGGGGGGTTAAGGGGGGGGAGGGGCTTCCTTGGCTTTGTTTGACTATCTGCGGTGGTTTACCATCGCCAGTTCCTTTTTGCTTCTAGTGAAAGCGGCCATTTGTCAGGCGGGAGCTGCTGTTACAAAAACTTAAGCGTTTGGTTCGGACACTTACTGGCTGCAGGGAGGGTTGTGCGACAGGGCCTCCCGGCATACGCAGCCTCCTGGCCATGTGGTCCTGGAGAGCGGCCTGGTGATGGTGGTGGGGGACCCGAAAGCCGTGAAAAATGACACGGCAAGGTGGTGGGATGTGGGAGTGATAGGGGTGAAGTGGAGAATATAGGGCGTTGACAGGGGAAGGGGGGGAGGATTTCGTTCTGCGGATAGCACGTAAGGCGGGGCTATAGCGAAAGTGATGAGGTATCTGGATAAGAAGTTATAAGATATAATTGAAAAACGTTTGCATTCGTCTTTTGCCTGTTTACGATGCGACTCACAGCTGCCAACAGCGCATGTCGGTCCGCTTGCGACTTATGCTTGTCGCGTTTCATTATTTTGGACTCGAAGCTCCCAAGCAAAAGCAGAAGTAAAGTTTCCAACAAAGACATCGTCTACACGTTTATTCTTTCCCCAAGAAACCCTTTGCGTACGGCATGAAGTGAAATTTTCAATAAGCGTTGTTTCATCATTTGATTGTACTCCCCAAGAGATAGCCTAATGGCTGCAGTGAGTCAGGCAAAAGTTGCTTATTATCCTGTTCATCGCACCGCTAGCGTTCACAGCTGTCGAAATGGAAGGGCACCGCGTTTCTCGCGGACCACCGTGAGCAGCCTTGACTTTTGCGATCAGCAGCTTCTTCGCGCATGTTTAGCGCGGAGCATCCTCTTACGACTGGCCAAGGCACCGCCTGATAGCTCATTAGCTCACCTAGTGAGTTTGGGTGTACAACACGCTAGCTTACCTCCGGTGCATGTGGAGCTGGGGTTTGAAGTGATGTTATATACAACCATTCCAAAGAATGGGGAAAAGTTTCTGACGAGTGGAGGGAGTTCAGGTGGCCCCTCACTCCTCACCACCCACGCACACCCACGCACACACTGGCGGACGCTGCGTCCCGCGATATGGGAAAAACGCCTCCCGACTATACAATTCCCCTTGCCTTTGGCCTTCAATTACTCCTTACGCCTACCTTGACTCTTTGTATATAACACCTCTCCAGCCTGGCCACATTCTCTTCCTCGCAAACGTACTTGGGCAACTTACAATCCAACACCATACGTGATCGGAAACGCGGGCAGCTGCTTCACAAGGACCCCCCTATTTGCGTTATCTACCTGGCCAGCCTCAAGTCCAATCTCGTATGCGGCGTGCGCGTGAGCCCAATACAACTACGAGCCCTCGTACACCGAAACAACAAAGAAAGGGGTTGTGTCAATCCTGCAGAAAACCTTGCCAAAATCTGACGAGTCTTCCATACTCGAACATCACTTGCCGCTCTACATCTTCCATAGATTTCCACATACGTAGAGAAAATCCACCCACCCCTTGCAGCGGCAACCGGTCAGTGATACCTTCGCCACGACCCTCACACGCCAACCTAGTTAGTTGTAATCAGTCTGCGCCACCTTTCGAGACCGCGCCTCCCACTCCGAGTCCTGAAGGGCCGGACCACTGGCTGGAGCATGATGTTGACCAGCTTCCTCACCTTGCACCCGTGCCTTTCTTAAAGATGCGGTGTGGTAAGAACTCCCACTTCGGGCCACTCTCCCTATCGGCGCAACCTTCACCGCCAAAACCCCTGCCAGCGAGCTCAACCCATATATGTCCCCTTGTAATTTTTTTCAGATATCACATCCAGGGCTAGCTAACTCCGCTTGGTCGACATCTCTAAGGCCCACCTCGGCTGTTGCTCAAACGGCCTTTTGAATCCAGAACCGCTGGATCCAAAAAGTGTTTTGGAGCCTGTCTTGTTGCGGAAGAAGTGCACTCCGCTCCCCGAGGATATCAATCCGCCTCTCCTCCCATTTCCTGCTATCCTAACGATGACCTTTCTTTGGGCTTCTTGGGCAACTCGCCCCGTTTTCCCCCCCCTCCCCCCGCCGCTCGCAGGGCATTTTATCACTCCAGGCACCGCCCGCGCCTCCAGCCTTCCACCGCCTAGCATCTGATCTTTCCAGGCTGTACAGCCACACCACGGCACCAGTACGAGGCCAATCTGCGCGGGTATGGGGTGAGCAGCGGCAGCCTTGCTGCGGCGCCGCCAGCTGCGGCGACGACGACGAGAAAGACCACCATTACCTCAGCGACGCAGTAGAGACGGCGGAGGCGGTACTCTGCCGCCACTTTGGGCCCCCGCTGCCGTACAACGGCTACACCACACCCTCAGGTGCACCCAACAAGCTGCGTGGGCTACCAGTACGCGGGGCTCGGTTGTGTGGTCCCACTGCACCGTGTGGGGGGGTGATGTGGTAGGGGAGTCGCATAGGCTGGCTAGGCTTTTGGCTGGTGACACGCGGCTGGTATAGCAGGTGTTGCGTTAGTGCTGCTGCTTCGGTGGTAGCGGTAACGATGGCACCGGGAAATGCTAAATCCACCACCGTTCACAGTCCACATCGTTTTGAGATTCGCGTTCCGCCGCAATAATCTGATTGATTCCACTGCAACTAAGCCATAGTTTCTTCGCAGCTTCCTCCAGATGGGTGACTTTCCCCTCCTGGTAGGGCTCCAGGTAGCTCCGGCTGGGATTGAACATGGCGCCGCCATGCACCGCCGGTGATGTGTGGTGGTGCATGGCGGTAATACTGGCCATGAATCGCTTCCGCAGGCGGCTCCTCCTCCACAAAGGCCGAACCTCCTGCCCCTCATCAAACGCTAAATACTTACCCTCGCAGGAAAGCAATGCCGACTGGCCCCCGGCGATACCGTACGGCACTTCCTCCACCCGTCTGTGGAGTCCTTTGTGATGTCGCTGTTCCGCTGCATCGAAGACCAGCGGACGCCCCTGGTGCGTTTCCCCTTCGTTCCCAGTAAACCACGCCCCTTTTCCGTCTCCCTGCGCCCCTCACTCTGAACATCCCTAGGAGCCAGTTCCCGTTGTTGGGGCAATCGGGCAACTGACCTCATGACCCGCATGCAGGTTACGCTCGGGCCGCACTGCCTCTTCCATGCGCATCTCTTTCGTGCCCTGCCTCCCGCACCCGGCGTCGGGCTGCTGTTCCACGCCTGCGAGTACCCAGCCTACCATGAGGTGCACTTCCCCTACCGGCTAGGTCACTGCCAGGAGGGCAGCCACCTGAGACCCGCGGGTCAGCAGCTCGCGCATCGCAACCTGCTCTGGTACCAGGTACATCGAGTAGTGTAGATCCCAGGGACTCAGGGAGCCGATGCTGATGCCGGTGGCGTAAGGTCCAGCACTGTTTAGTTGGCAATCGCCCGAAACATACTTGTGCAATAACGCCGTCGTACCATTTGGCCCTGGCGGTGGTCCTGACTGCGGATCCATCGCATGTGGGTGCATGCATGCAGGACCCTCATCAAAATGTAAAGCTTGAAATAGTGGCTGCCACGCATTTGTCTCCTCAGGATAAACTTGTGGTGCTGGATGTATCATCTGGCTCCTTGTTGAGACATGCTTTATGGGAGGAAACGTCGGAGCTGTGTACGCTGTACGAGGAGGATTTTGGCATACCGATGCTGGATCTGACCCTGGATGTTGTGGAAAGAAGCGCGTGGCGTTATGCCAAATTGCTCGCGTCATTACGGTAGCGTTTATATGTATGTAAAGTAACATTGTGTATCTCGTAATTTGAGCTGTGCCAAAGATACTCGTACTCGTAACCACACCGGGTCTCTCCAAGGTGGACAGCCTCTAGTCGATAGAACAATGCAGATAAGGGAAGTGGGCAAATGGATCCGCAACTTCGGGAAAAAGGTTGGCTATGAGAGCTGGGCCTAGGAATGGGGCATTAATGAATTTTAGGTTTCCAGGGAGGCTCAGCGGTCCATTGCGCTCCCGTGCAGGGTTATTCCTACATTATGGTTTCCGAGGTATGATGTGTGAAACAGGGGGGTATATCTTCGCCCGTGGCCGCTACCCTGCGAAACCCTGCCTTCCCCGGTATTTCGGGGCACCCTCATCCAGTCACCCTAGTCAACTTCTCAGTGGATCGCTCAGGTTCCGCACCCACCACCAGCAACCAATGGAATCTGCCGGGTTGACAGCGGCCCAACTCCATTCCTGGTCGGCTCGCAGGTTAACTTTATCCCAGGTCACCACCGTCCATCAACTAGGGGCGCAATACCTTCCACCATCGGAAGGATTTTTAACCCTAGCGGGTAACGATCCCGGGATCTCCCGGGGGCAATGGTCGCGCGTTACCAGTAATGCCAAACCCTAGATATGTAGGTATCTGTGTTGCAGCTTCAGATATCGTTCATGCGACAAATTGTGGGAGCTGCCAGACCGACACATCGCCTCCTGGTCGCCGAATTGTCGCAGCTACCCCTACACTACAAGTTGTGAGGTTTTGGAACCATGTCCGTTTACAGCGTGGGTCTGTGGCACACAAAGTTTTGCGACAGGAGGTCGCGGAGTCCCTCTCCAACCCCGAAGGGGCCGGATGGGGGGCACTACTCCTCCGGTTTCTATGTTTTATGGGGCACGACGTATGGAAAGAGACCCCGCAAGGGCGACACGAGGTAGACGAACGAGTGTAATGGCTGATGAACAGGTCATTGTCAGAAGGTGTGGTATTGGAGTTCAAGGACTCATTGGTGAGTGGTTGATGTCTCGCGCGTCTAGATGTCCAACCAGACGTGTACCCGTCAGAAGGCAAGCAACCAGGAATTCACATGGCGAAGCACTAGAATTGGATGGGTCTGGCGGCCGAGCAAGCGGGCAGGAAGGAGGTGCTCCCGCATATCACAATGTTAATCCCGCGTTCAGCGAATCGCCGCAAACTTATGCAGTTTAGGCTTTGCTGTTGGGCATTGGCGGCTAACAGAGCGCGTAAGGGACGGCGTCATATACCTAGGGAGGGGCATGTATGCCCCTGCTGCGGCAGTGATAACTATATAGAGGATGTGGAGCATTATGTTGCGGGATTGCCCGATATACGACTCAATCGGACTTGATACGGATTTCGCACGCTAGGACCTCATGAAGAACGCCATAAGCTGGCGCCAAGACTTGCTGAAACGTATATGGTTCCAACGCTGCTGATTGACTTAACAGTTGTTTTGCAGCCTAGTTAAGGGAAATAGTGTTTTGATGGTTAGGACCATGTAGGGTACCAGGGACCGCTTCGTGGTGTGTATGCTGCATATACTTGCTTGCCGATCTTGCATAGAAATGAGACCGTGTAACGCAGAGTTAGGGAAACACGCTTCATTACATTAGGAGCCAGAAACAGTAGCGCTGTATATTGAGTTTCAATTAAGACAATATACACGAAAATACAATGACAAAAAACTCTCGGGGACCAACTTAATACACATTCCGGTCCACAGTATGATAATTAGCGGTGGGAGCGTGAATAAGACGGCGTGCTTCTCTCTCTTCGAGTGCCCTTCAACAAAGAATTAAGTCATGCAGCAGGCATTGCACCAGCAGCATCCGACCATACAGATTGACGTGGGTCATATGTACACGGTTGCCAAGCACGGGCCAGCAACAGGCCACCGGAGATCCAGGAGAAACTTGGTAAACACATGCTACCAGCACCTTAACACAGCGCCACATATAGGCACGGGAAACAGCCAGAAACCAACACATCGCTTAGGTGCCTGGCAGCATGAGACAGTATGATCAGACAAGCTCATGACACCATATTTAATCACAAGCCGGACAACCGCCATGAGAACACCTGCAACACGAAGTGCGAACGGGATACGACTGGTCCGAAAACCTCACCGACGTTGCGTAGGCAGCAAGGCTGTGCCGGGGGCCCAATGAGGCGATTTACGCCCGGTTCGTTGCTTTGCTTTCGGGACAGAGACCGGGAAACAGGGGGAAGGCAGGGAAACCAAAGCATAGCAGATCGCGCGCCGCACCATTTTGAGACGGTCAACGTCCAAGAATGTCAGTATGGCACGACGGCTACTGCACGCTTGAAGGGAAGCCAACAAACATCAAACAGACCGGAATCCACGACACAAGACCAACAACATGCGTATGTATGGTAAGCACGGTAGAGAAACAGTAACGAACTGCGAAGCGGACATATCATATGGCTCCGCAGCATTGCTAAAATTCCAAAGCAACCATCTTCGCACGCATTAAGCACATCCAGAACTGGACATGCCAAGGCACATGCGGCAACGTGTTGAATCAAAACAAGTACGTTTCTGACCAAACAGAATGTTTCTCATGAACAAACATCAGCATACCGTGCCACCTGAATGGCTGTTGAACGTGGTTCACGACGAGAACATCGTCAAACCAGGCTGATCAAACCAAGCAAACACCGTTGGGAGCAAGTGCGCATACATAGATCGAGTTTCCCCACCTTCGGGGATTACACATACCATACCCACGACAAATTCAATACAATGATCTCTGCTCTGGCTCAATGTGACTTGTTTAGTAGCCACCGCCACCGTAGCCGCCACCATAGCCACCGCCACCGTAGCCACCACCGCCGTAGCCGCCACCGCCGTAGCCGCCACCGCCGCGGCCACCACCTGACAGATGCAGAATCAAGAGTGTTAGGAGAATAATGACAGTCTTGCGGTACTCTTGCGGCCAAAGAAACCTCGCGCTAGAGCAGGTATGCTTACCATAGCTGCCACGACCGCCACCGTAGCCACCATCACCACCATAACCACGACCACCGCGGCCACCGCGGCCACCACCATAGCCACCGCGACCTGAATGACGGAATTGAAGAAAAAGAAAACGTCAGGGAATCAGACTGGCTTCACAACGTACGCCTACTCCGCATCCCAAGATGCGTGTTTCACCGCTTGCATATCCACGTAGCTCAAGCGCTCGGAACAGGCATATCAGAACTTACCACCTCCAGGGCGCTCGCCCATAGGAGTTGCCTCGTTCACCTTGATAGTACTGTATAGGGTAAAATTAACAAGTGGTTGGAAACTCGAAAGACTTGCTCACAGAAATTGCCGTTTTCCGAAACGAAGTGTACATATATCTTACCGGCCCATAAACTCCGTGCCATCGATTTCGCTTGCAGCAGCACGTGCAGCAGAGGACTCGAGAGTCACGAAGCCGAAGCCGCGAGACCGACCGGTCTCGCGATCTGTAGCAACAAAGGCATCCTCGACAGCCCCGAACTTGCTGAAGAGGCCGTTAAGATCATCAGCCCGAGTATCCCAAGACAGGTTACCTGTGGTTCAGGAAGCGGAGTGGAGGTCAAGACATATCCGACATCGACACCATTGGCCGCCACACCAGCCGCCACATTAAAGTTCGGAGAGCTCAAAACATCTTTGATGAAGACTTACCGACGTAGAGCTTGGTCGACATGCTTCCGCTCTCCTTAGAACTTGCCGCCGCCCGGGTAGAGTGCAGACAAGACTGCACTTGAGGGACCGAAAAGGGCGCGAAACGCCTCCCAGACTTGGACACCAACACCAAGCTCCTTGCAGTTAGCATGTAAGTAACTTGAAGATTGTTTTGATGTAGGCTCAGATGCGCCGGCTGATTTAATAAGGATGGCGCGCCGTACGAAAGGCCCTACGGAGGCGTATCTCCGAGAAGAGCTTTTCGGCTGACGAGACAACAAAATCGTATTAATCGTAACACAGCATCTCGGTTGTGTTTATTTATTCTAGATGCGTCTGCATGCACTGCGGAGCGCAATGAGCTTCGGCGGCAAAATATCCGTTGCCCGATGACGTAAGCTCCTTTCAAATCCTCCAAACATTTTCCAGCTCTCCTTCAACTTTTGTATGGGGCAGGAGTATTCAGGATTGTAGCGTTAGTGCTGACTCTTACATGTCAAGCATTAGCGTCAACCGGTCCTCTGTCGGATTGTGAAGTGCGAAACGAGCGTGAAGTTCTATCCTCTTCTTTTGTCGTCATGGCCGGCACTTCTAGCCTGCTCCACAGGTTAACGTGATTAACCACAATCCCTTGCTCAAGCACAAACGAGCATTTCATGGCCATGGTGCTTAAGCGACCTGTGAAAAGGACGCAAGCCTCAGAATTCCGTAAACATTGTCTTATTATCGACGCTAGTCCGGTTTCCTGCCCTTCACTTGCACTGCTCCTACATGGCCAACTTGCATTCTCCCACCGACAGCCTCCACCAACGGCGCGTCCGGGTCCCGCAGCAACCCCAGTCGTTCGTAAAAGTCCACGGAACGGCTAGTAGCTCGCAGCGTCACGACCGCTGCGTCGTTCTCATCCTTAACTCCCCCACGCAGTTCGGAAACCAGTCGCTCTAGCAGCGCACGTCCTAAGCCCTGGCGACGCAATGCAGGGTGGACTGCTAGAAATCGCACCGTTGCGACAATTTCCTGGCCCTCGCTGCAATCCTCTCCACTGTCTCTGCCCTCCGCAGCTGCACTGCTAGCCCCCCCTACAGAGCCAAGTGCGGCCATGCCTGCCTGCTGCTCAGTACTGTAGTTCCCTGCTTGTCTTGGCCGTCGGCGCTCCCCTGGAGTCCAGTCTCGCTGGCACTCCCGCCATTGCTGAACACGCGTGCCTCCGTACCGCGCTGAGCTCTCTGTTGCTGCTGGCCCCGTCGCGGTGACGCCTTGCCCACCACCGCCGCGCTTGCCACAGCTTTCATCGCTGAGGCCGGCTCGTGCCGTTGTCCCCCGCGATGGCAACATCGCAATGTCGACGCAAGCGAACCCGACCACTTCTACCCCAAGGCCGCACAGACCGGCGCCGTCGCTACTGCCCGCCTTAACAGCTGAGGTGGTTGCTCGGGGCCCGGTTAAACCCTGGGTCCGTGTCGTAAAACAAGCGGAGACTTCAGGGTTGCTACTAGGCCGCATGCGGTACGCCCACACCACAACGGCTGCGAACGGAAAGTCCGCGGGGGTGATATCCAAATTGGCCTGATGGTAGGTACCGCGGGTTTTGCGCAGGGCAAGGGTGAGAGATAAATTGCGAAACGAAGCAGTCAGGAGCAAGCCTTTCCCACAGCGGCACAGGAGGGGGCAAAGGGGGACCTACCCGCGGGGGAGGCACTTTTTGGGGGGAAGGCGGAGCAGGGGCGAGGCGGGGAGGCAGGGCAGCGGGAGGACAAGAAGGCGGCGGCTAAGACCAGAGGGTCTCCTGTTCGCGGCTTTAACGACAGCTTTAGTGGTGAGCCGTGTAGGGCGGCGGCGAGCTTTCGCTTTTGCAAGTAAAAGGGGAGGGAAGGAAGAGAGGGGAGGGAAGGGAAGGGAGAGGGGAAGGAAGAAAAGGGGGGGGCCTTTCTTATCCTGCGGTCCATTTTAATTTCACGGCAAGTCCCCTTGCTCTTTCCGAAGAACCCCCTCCGAAACCACCCCTATTTCAAACCCACCCAAGTCATACCAATGCACACTTAACGAGGTTACATTAAACCCCGACCCACATCAAGTGAACTCGTCTACGCACCGCAAAACATCAAAGCACACCAACACCAACCCACATCACAGCCGTTTGTGCTTCACAACCCCACATCACGACCCCAGCCCCGCACCAGTTGCAGAAGCCGCTCCACCTCACTGTACGACAGGTGGGCCTTGCCGTAACTCAGGAAGACGCCGCGCTCAGCCCATTCTTCATCGGAAGGCGAAAGGGGTCCTGCGGCGCGCGCACATTTGCGGGGGGGGGGGGGTAAAACCGACGCATGACGAACCAAGACTCCTCCGTGGATGCAAACACGAATTTTTCCCCCAGCGGATTGGGGAGGGAGTGGGTGTAATTGCGTAGAAAAGAAAAACGCCGAATTGATTACGACCCAGTAAGGGGATTTGAATAAAGAAAAGTACAGGCTCCATTATGATTCAAACACGCAGCCTTTGGAAGGTGATGCAAGTCGAGGTGTAACACACGGGTAAGCGGGTTCACATCGAGATGTGCGCTAGAGCAAGACATGAAGCCTGAAGAACTACGATGCGACACGAAATACACGTGCTTCCAGGTGAAGGTTTTTTTTAAACTGATACAGGCCCAGGAACGTCTGTTCTTGTTAAAGCATGGGCAAAAGAACCATGCCGCGGCTGTAGGCCCGCAGCAGCAGCTGCAGGTGCAGAACGAAGAGACGGAGCCCCTCGATGCCCTACCCTGCGCCATGCTCGGGGGGCATACGAAGATGGGCTGGTTCGGGAGCCATCTGGACAGGCCATCGCTGAAGCTGCTGTTGATGCCGCGCCTGCTTTCGCTGCCGTCCCTTGCGCTCGTGCCGCTGGTTGAGCACCAGACGGCTTGGTGACGCAACTTCAAGGATAGTTTTCTCAGTTTGTTAGATGGGTCGGACAGGAGGGCGTGAGCGGGGCTCGAAGATGTTGCCGTGAGGTTACGGCCATGCTGGGCTGTACTGCGAAGCAATGCACGCATAGCATGCGTGGCCTATGCACGCAAGCGCAGGTCACGCAACCAAATGCGATATCAAGGACTGGATGTTGGTTGTGAACAGGAGTTGCGAAGAAGGAACGCGTGCTCTTCGCCGTTGGGTTTGTTTGCTAAGTCGTTGTGGAAGAAGCTGTAACTGGGTTGGACTAATCAAAAGGCACTTGACAAAAATTAGAGTTCCGACTTTGTGACTGTGATATGCTCTGATACTATTCAAGCTGTGTCCACAAATCGGCATTTAGTAGGGTGCATGCCACGCCCTTCACGGCCGGGCTGGTTTGGTAACTTGGTGCTGCTTCTGTCAAAGTATGAATATTACAAACGATGATGCTTTGGATGTTATGGTTTCCATCGGACGCCGGGCACTGGAGTGCGGAAAGGTCAGCGCCGGCGTCAGCGCGAAAGGGCCTCCCATGCTGTCTGCAACGCTGCGACCGGCCTCGTCCTCCCAACCACCAGCCATCTTTTGCTCCATCTCATGCATGCTCAATATCCACCAGTCGTGCCCGAGCGCACGAGAGCCCCGACTGCTTCCATCATAGCCCGCCCACGCTGACCTTCCCCCATCTCTGAACGAGACAGGTTGACCAAGCCTTGACCATACTTTCCGGTGTGGTGTCTAAGGCGCCCAAGCACGCGCTTGCATGGTTCAGCCTGGCGCGGGCACATCTGGCCAAGGCAAGTCCAGCGCACTGCGGGTTCCACAGTCCGCTCTCATCCCCTCCGCCATCCCAAACGCTGGCCCTTGCTGCCACATACTTCCCCCCATCTTGGCCGCTTGAAGATGCTCCACTCTTCCCCCTTCCTGGTCCTCCTTCTCTGCCACCTCACCCTCCTTTTCCCACCGCACCAATCACGTCGCAGTTATGCCTTACCTTTTCTGTATTCGCCCAATACCCACAACGCACAGACACACATACACACACACGCAATCTCCACTCCACACAACCCAAATCTAACCTATTAATTATCGGACCGAAACATCCTCCCTCTCCTCTGCGGCCTCACCCGCACCTCCCCTGAAGGGCTCTCGAGACCATGCCGCCATGTGCTACCAGCGAACCGCAAGCTTGGCTGCCGTACAGCCTGGCGAGGTAGGTTTTATGGCCGGGGAGCGGGACGTAAGGGTTGATCTGGTTATGCCTCATCGCCCGATCGAACTCATTCCACCCATCCATCCACAGCTGCCATTTTCCAACTGCCAGCTGCTACTGCCTAAAACTTCTTACGTGCCTGTGTATGTATGTATGTATGTATGTATGTATGTATGTATGTATGTATGTAACTGCCCAACCGCCCGCCTGCCCGCCCAGCACGCCGCTCGCCTGTTGGGACTGGCGCGGGACAACATGGTGCTGGTGGGGGAGAAGGTGCTGCAGAGGGACTGGCTGCCGGCCATGCAGGTGTGGGGGGTGGAGTAGGGGGCGCGGATTAGGGGTTGTGGGGCTGGGAGGGCGCGCGCGCGCGTGTGTGTGTATGTATGTGTGTGTGGGGGGGTAGTTGCCTAGGGAGTTGGGGGGAAAGGACGTGTATGTGTCCCAGCAGTGTACTGTACATAGGATTGCTGAACTGGCGGAAGGTTTAATAGACGACGGTGATGATGGTGATGATGATGATGATGATGATGACGATGTTGGTGATGGTGATGTTGATGACGATGTTGGTGATGATGATGACCGGGACGGCGAGTGTGTCGCTACAGTGCGAGCGAGAGTAGGAATAGCTATCGGCGCTGGAGAATGGCGCTTTCGGCCACTAGCTGTACATAAGGTGGTGCTGGTGGTGGTGGTGATGGTGCTGGTGGTGATAGCAAAAGATCGGCTACAGGCCGACTTCAGGCAGCGTACGCGGACTTCCTCGCCTCAACCAGGTACTAAGACTAAAGAGAACGAACCCCCCTGTGTATGTATGTCTGCTGTCCTGGGACGCGGCGCCAAGGATCCCCACATGGCGGACGTCTGGGGAACTGCACTCCACGACTTGGTGGCGGCGGGGGCGGCGGCAGCGGCGGCAGCGGCGGCAGGTGGTGAAAATGTACGGCCTTCCCAGGCGTTGGTTGTTGGCGGCTTAGGCCTGCAGGCGCTAATCTTGCATGCGCTCATGGCCGCCGCTGCGGCGGCGGCGGCGGCGGCGGTGACGTGGGTCCAACCCGATGAGCTGAGTCGTACACTGGCGGCGCAGATGGCAGCGGCGGCGGGTGTGCCGCGTACGGAGCTGCGCGTCGTGAATGGGTGGAGTGATGCCGTAGCCGCCGTCGCGGATGCGAGTGTCAGCACTGGAGGTACGGCAGCGGCGGGGGCGGGTATGGTGGACGTGCTGGTGGCGGCAGGGCTGTGTACGGCACGCCTGGCGCTCCGGGAATGGGCGGCGACGCTCTCCCAGGTGCGCTTTGACCCCTCCTGCACTATCCCCGCCGCTTAAAAATCTTTGTGTTCTACGTAACCCGCCCCTTCTCCCCCGGCCCCTCCTTCCCCTTTCCCCCCTCGTCAATCGTCTGTGCTTCGTCATACCCGCTTCGTCGTACCCGCTTCGCCGTACCCGCTTCGTCGTACCCTTTTCCCACCTCAGGCTCGTCCGCTTCTGGCCCCCGGTGCTGTACTGAGTCCGCGGGCTGTTCGTGTGGTGGGGGTGTTGGCGGCGAGTGAGGACCTTATGGCCATGAACGAGGTGGGGTGGGGTGGGGTGGGGTGGGGTGGGGTGGGGGAGGAGAGGTGAGGGGATGGGGGTTCACAAGGGGATGTGCGGTAAGGGGGTTGGAGTGAAGGGGGGGGGACGTGTTGTGCGGGTTTGTGCGGGTTAGAGTGAATGGCGTGTCAGCGAACGGCGGTGAGAGGGGAGCTCTACATGACGTTTGATATGAGTGGGGTTTGTGGGGGGCGGGGTTTGTGGGCGGTTGATGCTTCGGATAGATCCTACCCTACTTGTTTTCGGTGATGCTTCGGCTACTGCTACTGCTACTTCCACTGCTGCCGTCTTTACTGCTGCTACTGCTGTCGTACAGGTACGGCTGGATTGGATGGCTGAGGATACCGGGGGCCTGCAGTACGGTCCCGCCAACGAACTCCTGTGGCGGCACGCCAGGTCCATGCAGGTATAAAAGATCTTGTCGTACTTGACGTCGTACTCGATCTTGTTTCTGCATAGGCCTAGTCTGAGGCCCCGACCCCGGGGCAGCAAATTTGCGTTTCGAGTTGGTTGGTTTTACTCCGCGACACCTCCCGGGGGGGGCCGTGGATATAGCTACAGCCGTCGCTGTTGCCCGTCGCCTTCGCTGCCGCCGCTGCTGACATCGCCTTACTACCTACCGCGATATCAACCGCTTGCTCTCCCCCCCCCCAACCGCTAACACACACGCACACACAGGTCTCCAACCTCCGCTACAGCCCCCTGTCGGAGCCCTTCTTGCTACTGCCTGAGATCAGCACCCAGCAGCTGCTGCTACAGCCGGATCAGTTGCTAAGGGCCCCAGGCGGCAAGGCGGAGGCGTCGGCCGCTGGATCCAAAGACGAGGCCGCCGACGGATCTGGATCCTGCGAAGGGTCAGGATCCAAAGTCGCTGGATCCAGCAGCACCGCTCCGCCTTCCGCCGCCAGCGGCGGGGGATCTGGATCTGGATCCACGGCGCCGCTGCGTCATGAGGTGTTGGTGGTCGCCGCATCCACGGGGCGAGTTGATTGCGTGGTGTGTTGGACCGAGTACGAGCTGTCGCCCGGTGTTTGGCTGTCGTACGCGCCGTACGAGCTGCAGGTGAGAGGATATATGCTACTGCCAGACCTCCATGTAACATCCGCTGCTACGTTTTTCCAAATCCTGCGGGCGCTGCGTTACCATTTTCGTCTCGCAGGGTCGCTCCGAAGCTGCCGTACTGGCGCCCCACGTGTGGCAGCGAGTGCAGTACTTGTCCGCGAGGCCGGCAGTACAGGCGGGGGATTCCCTGGTGCTACAGGTGCGTGTGTGTGTATGTATGTGTGTGTATGCGTGCATGTGTGTGTGTATGTGTATGTGTATGTATGTGTGTGTCTATGTCATTCGAAAAGCCTTTTTGTGTTTTTTAAAAGTTTGGTCGGGCTATTATTATCCAATCCAATCAAAGGAAATAGGCAGTGTGTTATTCGCTGCTTTTGTGGGTCACTGAACCTTGGTGTCACTTGTTGTGTGTGGGGGGGGGAGGCGAGCGCACGTGTGCAGGTTCTTTTGTGTTTTTTTGAAAAGGGGATATCAGGGGCCTCCTGCGTTATTTCCTAACTTCTGAAAGCCCTTAGGTGCCCTCTTTTGGCCCGACCCCGACCCCGACCCCGACCACCGCGCTGCGGTCCCCAACCCCCCAACCCCCCAACCCCGAAGGTGACGCTGCCAGCTGCCAGTGACGATCTGCGCGTCGAGTACGACGAAGACGTCACTGCCGTACAGCGTCTGCGTGGCCAGCAGAAACGGCCGCAAGCGTCCTCGGTGGTGGACGGTACGGCACCCGTACCGCCGGAAGTCGACCCGTTTCTGCCGGAGGGCGAACCGCTGCTAGCTCCGTCAGGGCGGTCGTCCGAACCGAGCGGGAGTGAGGAGGGGGGGGAGGATGGGGCGGAGGAGGGAAGGGCTGCTGCTGCTGCTGCTGCTGGTAGTGGTAATGATGGTGGCGGTGCCCCCGACGCTGCCGCCGCCCCCGAAGAAGCGGCGGCAGCGGCGAATGCAGGGTCAGCGGCGGCAGTAGCTGCGGCCATGAGTCAATCGGGGCTTATCCTGCCGTACCACATGAGCATGTTGAACGACCGACAACGGACTCGTTGCTACGTGAAGGGCATACGGGGAGCGGTGGAGGCGGCGCGGGTGGGTGCTTCAGGAGGGGCGGGGTGAGGTAGGGGGGGTTCAGTTTGGGACGTGTGGGAGGGAGAGGGGGGAACGATGTGGGGCGTTGTATGGACTAATTGAGCCGCAGCCGCGGGCGGGAACTAACTTTGCTAACTCCATGATGCGTGTATGCAGCCCAAGTGTAGCGAAATGGCACAAACGTTTCACGACTTGGGGGATGAGGTTTGATCCCCAAGAGGGATTTGCGTTTGTGGGGGGCCCCCGGGGGGGGGGGGTACGGACAGCGGGGTATGGATCATAGGGCCCATTAGGGAGACGAGATCTTTAGGGGGGGTAAGACGAACAACTGAAGCGAATGAAGCTTCGGATACACCTGGAGGGGATTAAAAAGGGAGGAGATTAGGAAGGAGGAGGAGGTTTTAGAAAGTCCCAATCCAGGTGTGCGGGAGTGGTGTGCCCCTCGGTTCAGGAGGTGCGGCGGAACTGCGGGAGCTGAAGGAGGGATTGGAGGGGGGGGGGAAAAGGGAGGGAAGGACAACTGACAACTGTCCCCCCCGTCCTCTTTTCCCCCCTTGCATACACTTGCGTACACGCACACCTTTTTTCCCGCGCACACACAAAATATCCTAAAACCCTAAGAAGAAAAAAATCCCTTTTGAAAACGGCAGGCACGTCATCGCGACAGGCCGCCGCTGGTGGTCCTGGACGTGGGCTCGGGCACGGGGCTGCTGTCCCTGGTCGCGGCCAGGGCTGGGGCCGAGTGCGTCGTGGGTACGGAACTTAAATAATGGAATCCTGCCGTATCCCATGGCCGTACATGATATGGGTCGGGGCCCCCCACCTCACTCTTTCCTTGGCAGCAGCTTCACTCGTTCGTGGTTCGTGGTTCGTCTTTCCCCCTCCTACCTCACGCACGTAGTTCACCACCACTATCCAGGAAACCCACCCAGGGGCCAACTTGCGTCCCCTTGGGCGTTGGCTGTCAGAGTCCCCCGACCGGGGACGGTGCTTTTATGTGTTTTTACGTGTTATTATTACTCCAAAGCTATCACTTGCTTTGTCTGAAGTGTGCGAAGTAGGATGGTGTGCTTTTAGGCGATCTGGCAGCCCTTGAGCCCTCGGCTCGTATTTGGGCGTTTTGCAGGTGTGTAGGGGGAACGGGGGTACGCACCCCCACGACCATGTAGCACACACACACACACACACACTCTTCCAAAGCCTGGGCAGCA